GAATGTCTGCTTCTCATTTTATGTCATTTTACTCTCATTTACTGTAAGTTTAGCTTTGTAGCCATCTCGCACAGAATTACATTCATAAAGGTGAGAATTACAGTCATGATGCTGTGACCCAGACAGGAAGAATTTCTTTTTGTGTCACAAGGACATTTATGAGAACACTTTGTGATGAAAGAAATACTGACAGGCCTGCATACACCTCCAGTGTCCATACTGAAAGAGACTGGATGCCATAGTGACTCCATAACTAAATATGTTAATCTGAATTTCATGTGAGTATTAAAAGAGCTACTCATACACTTTCACATAAACACTCTGTTGTAACCAGATCACTCTTTCAACCCCTCATGAACAGAATTGTCCCCCACTGAGCTGCAGCAATTTTGATCCGTTAATAATTAAACAGACGATCATTTTTGGCCACTGGAGAGAATATTTGATCGATTACTCATTAATGGACTCGTGTGTTTAATGAAAATGTTTTCTTTAATCCATCTAACTTAATCACTGTGTGTGTGCGTGTGTGTGCGTGTGTGTGTGCGTGTGTGTGTGTGTGTGTGTGTGTGTGTGTGTGTGTGTGTGTGTGTGTGTGTGTGTGTGTGTGTGTGTGTGTGTGTGTTTGTGTTGTTGTGTGCGAGCTGCCCAGAGAAAAATGTGCTAACTGATAACAAGGACCCCCCATCCCAAGAAACACATCACACTCACATCACACACCCAGCCCCTCACATCTAAACACACACACACATACACACACACACACACACACACACAAACAGACACTAGCACACACATAAACACATACTTTAAAACCCCAAAACCTCCTGTTTATCCTGTTTACAAAAACCTCACACGGATCTCCAGTAGAAGTATTTTTCCCAATCCAATCCAAACTCATTTAAACTGTGATTTTTTTTTAATATTCTGTAAACGACCTAACTAGAAATAGGAATAGTTTTTACTCAACACTTTCCCCTGCAGCCAATACATTTGATGCTCTTGAGAATTTTTCCACATGTTGATTAATGTGTGTTTACACTGCACATTTTGAGCCTCACATACAGGCCCGGCAGTGATTGTGAACTACTGTTTATCTAAGCCCAGTGGAGGGAAACCTTTCATCTGCTCTGCCACCATAAAATAAAACTCAGCACCAGACTCAAACTGCTGGACAAACACAATCAACTCTTGACCACAAAGCAATCTCCACACATAGATCCCAACAGGAAAGTGGGGATCTGCCGTCACGTGGGAGATTAGTGAAAAGATTAGTCTGTGTTTATTTGGGTTCATTTTTACACGGGAGGCCATGAGAGACGTTAAAAATGTGTTTGTGTGCGTTTGGTTTAAGTGCCATGACACACCTGCTGATGAAAGATGATTATTGAAGTGGACAGAGGGTATGTATATTATACTCTTCTGTGTATTTCAGGGAGATTTTAACTTGTGTGTTAATGTTCGCCTCTAAATCTGTTTGATCCTGCAAATTCACCTCAAACCCTGAATGGCGGCATGATGGGAAAACAGCAGGATTTTTCTGCTTTTCCTCTCTCGTTAAAAACCCCATTAGTTCCTATTTAACCACATCCTTACACATTCACTTCTGTTTTGTAAGAGACAAACACTATTATTGCACCTAATAATCTTTATTTGGGCAATTACTTAATTCAGATAGGATGGTGCGGCAAGCGTTGCATGTGTGGACCTGATGCAGACCAAACACTCGTCTGCTCTCCATCATATCCCTCATCATGGCAGCCATTTGTGCAGGCTCGTCTATCCGGGCTGGTCCACAACAAAGACCTGGCAGCTCTGCCGCCGGTAACCCAATCCAGGGACATGAAACACTGACCTTTGACCCCACGTGTGATACAAGTGGCAGTGTTGTCCCACAGGTCTCTGGTAAACACGCCAGACGCATTCCCGGCCACAGTGCTTCTGTGGCATGTTAGCGCAGGAGCGGCTAAAACCTTTCTGACATTTGTTTTTGCGTCTCAGTAAATACAAACCCTCAGCCCTGCGATGATAAGATTGACAAGGGTTTAGGTAGTTTTGGGAATTTGGGGTTTATCTGAGCTAACATGTAAACGTTAATGTTTGCATGAAACATAATACAGACTTATTTTACACTGCCAAACATCCCATCATGGAAACGATACATCCATGGCGCCAATCCCAATACTGCTGCATGTTGAAGGTGTGGAGCTCATAGCAAGGTTGAGCTTCGCTGTGATGGACTGTGTTTAATCAAATCAAACCTTATAAACCCAGTAAACCCACATCTGTTTCCCAGCCCTGCTTAAAGAAATCTAGTACTGTGGTCCTGTTTTAAAGCCCTACTCTAATACACAAATTATTACATTACAGGGTCGGTTTTAGCTGCACGCTCTTGACACTTTTTTTGAAAAACCTGGATTGAAGAGCACATATGCTTTCACACTTTAAGCCGGCTGTGTTCTGTGGTTTATACAGACTAAGTGGGATGCTGGTTCTTAAATGCAATGCTGCTGATACATTTTTTTAATGTGATTTTTCAATGTTATAAGGACTAAAAACAAACATTTTTTTAAAGATGGCAACAGAAATCTCAACTATCCGCATGGTTAGATACCACTGGAAGTAAGTTAGAAAAAAAAAAATGCAAATTTACATTTAAAAAAAAAAAAGCACAATTAAACAAACAAAGCTGCTGCTTCATGAACAGAATTTTTGTTCTGTTTACTTGGGCCATAAAACAACAAAAAAGCAGTTTGCCTAAAAATAATAGTAAGTAAATTCCTCCAAGATAATTTGATGTTTGTCTCTTCTCAGTTCCGGTTCATCTCCTCACTGTTAACAGCAGTTATATTAGATGAGTCTCTGGCTCATAGTAAACACCCTCTCAGGTTTACAGCCAGCAGGCCTCAGACCTGCGTGTACTCTCTCAGCACGCTGCCATGGTATGGGCCTGTAAACTGCAGGGGATGGGTTTCAGTGTATGGTTTTTTACTGGTGGTGGTAGGGGGCTGCAGGTGAGGGTGGGAGGAGGGAGCGGGTTGCTGAATCACCTCCAACAGAGAAGGCGTCAAGTTCTGGCATGAAGAACAGTTTCAGTTTAGCAGCTGCTGGGTTCAATGCAGCAGAACGGCGCATTAGGAGACAAAAACCTGCATAATTGCATGCATGTTGTGCAGACACACTCGCATGTGCAGACATGTACACACATGCATACACTATACTAACTGCTCAGCCACATCTACACACACATCTGTGTCCTGTTACAGTGTTGCTCACTGTTTCAGTCCCTTTTTTCCAGACGTTTTCCATCAGATCATCGGTTAGACTGAGTGCTGGAGGAACATGTGAGAGCTTACATCTGTCTGAAGGCTTTTATCTACCCTCCCACCTGTTACAACTTCCACTCTGGTAATAAGTGAGAGAAATCAAATCTGTACGTCTGAGGTAATCAGCAAAAGCACAAGTTTTGTTATCATATCAGCTGTTTCAGTGGACAAAAACTCAAGTCAGCAGTCACACCAATAACAAGATGTTCAAGGTTTAATTTTCATTGATTAGCTGATAGATGATATAAATTCTGTGAAAAAAATCCAGTTCAGAATGAAGCAAAAATATATTTTTAGGTAAAGATTATCCTCTTTTTACTGCAAGTAATTTCTTATCTTATTTTTCATCACATGGCAGACAATGCATTGCATTTTGTGTTGTGTTATTATATTTGCTCTATGTCACTGTCTTTTTTGTTTTTGTTTCCTTGCAAAGAAAATTCTCCGTCTACAGGACAATAAAGATCTTAACTGGTTTCTTTGATACTTAATCTCATGCAAATTCTTTTTTTCCCTCTTCTTCCTTTTGAATTTGATTTGAAATATGACTAGTGAAGCCGTGAGGACATAATGTATAATTTAGTTTTCTGACTTTGACAAACATGACAGCCCATCACTGAAGCTTCACTTCCACTTCCAGCTTCTTTTTAATCATCTTTCACCAACAGAAAAGACCTGCAGGGTCACAGACGTCTGTCATAGTTACATCAGGATCTCCCATTATTCCCATTTTTATTCAACACAGCTTCTCCCTTCTCCTATTAACAGCGCGATTGTGAAGCCTAAACAGTCCTTTAATGGTTTCATCACAGAGCGGACAATTAAAGTCCAGAGGAGCTCGATAAAGACATGAACCAGGCGTTATGGATGGGAGCCAAGACAGATGACGGGGAGTCAGCAAGCGGGAAAAACAGACAGAGAGACATAGCCGAAGAGATGGGGGGAGGGGGGGGGGGGGGGGGGGGGCGGGGGGGGGGGGGGGGGGGGGGGCCGGGGGGGGGGTCTGTGTCCCAGTAAACAACAACAACACAAAACTCAGCTAACATATATCACAATATTAGTGCAACAACAGGGAGCTCTGGCTCTGTAAATAGTCTGAGAGTGATTGTTGGGACATGGTGAAAGCTGTATGTATCGTGTGTGTGTGTGTGTGTGTGTGTGTGTGTGTGTGTGTGTGTGTGTGTGTGTGTGTGTGTGTGTGTGTTTGGCAGATGGCAGGAACAGGCAGAATGAAAGAATGCACAGAAAAATGGAAAAAGGAGGAGAGGAAAGGGGGACAAAGACAATGAAATAGATGATGTAACAGACAAAAAAAGAGCAATAAAAGAAAGAAAAACTAAGAGAGAAGTGAGAAAAAGAGAACAACTGAAAAATGGAGAGAAATCAGAAGAGAGAGAGAGAGAGAGAGAGAGAAAGAATTCCCCTCAGACTTTCTCCTTGATTCCCAGCCAACACATTTACAATCGAGGAAGTCTCTACTGACTCGCCACTGCTGCCTCCACTCCCCTCCTCTCACCTCCTCTCCTCTCATGCTGGGACCCCCCCCTCCCTCCCTCCCTCCCTCCTGAGAAAGTGGGACTCCCTCTCCCCTCCCTCCCTCCCTTTCCCTCTCTCTCTCTTGCTCTCGCTCTCTCTCCCTCCCATCTGAAGATTTAACACAGTGCAGAGCGGAGCTGGCGGTCACAGTTGTGCCCTGGATTGTAGCAGAGGGAGAGAGAGAGAGAGAGAGAGAGAGAGAGAGAGAGTGAGAGCAACCCTCCTGCAGCCTGTTCACTCACCACCATGGATGTCAAACTGTTGGCACTGATGGCTCTGCTGGCCGTGGCCACACATGCACCAACCTCCAATGGTGAGTCCAGGAGAGGGTCCATAGACTGATCATTATTGGGAGTTTTGATACATTTTTTTTTTTCTGGGAAATTTTGCTTGATGAGATGTTTCAATGTTAAAGGTGGGGAAAGGGTTTTGCTGCTTGGACGGTGTGGATGCTTGAGCTTCTATTATATTAATATTGGCTGAAGAAACTAATGAATAGCTTTATTAGAAAATCAGCTGAATGTCTGGAGATTCTGTTTGGCTTCATGTTTTAATTTTTTTTACTTTGTCATTGTCACAGTTTTATTCCTCCAAGTGTTGTTATAGTTTGATGGTTGATGAGTTTCACTTGTTGCACAAAAACAAAGAAATCTTTTGGACCAATCCTGTAGTGCTGTTGCTCTTCTGGCTGTGGCAGTAAATCACAGCACTTTTATTCTCTGCTTTGCTTATTACATCTCATGTTTTTTGAGACATGGACAAATAGTGAGCAGAGAATAAACTTATATTTGATCATGATTCATCCACCAGTGATCTGTGTTAAATTAGTCGATTAATTGATTTGTTGAACATATTTCTGTAAAGATTTTGAGATTGATTCATAATAGACAGCTTTTTTTTTAAGGAGTATAGCCAGTAATTAACTGGTTCTGACTTATCAAATGTGAATTTTTGCTGGTTTTATGAGATTTCTAACTTTGGGGTCTGAGCAAGTTGAAGGTGTTAACTGGGAACGAACAATTAAATGAGAAATATTCAGAAAATTAATCAATAATTAGTTACAGCCCTGGATTACTGATATGGAAGTTCATCTGCATCACTACTGGAGCTTTCTGTAACATTTTATTAACCGTAATATTTTTCCATGAAAAACTGTATTTAGTATTTTGAGCTAAAATCCTTCGTGTATCAGTGGTGGAGAAGTTCTGCCCCCACATGCATCGCCCTCACGTTAACCTTGGTAGGGGACAAGTCAGGGCTGCCTTATGCTAAGCTTGTTGTTTCGGCCCCAGTGAGACCCCTGATTGCACATTAAAGACTTAGATCTAAATGTGTGTATTTGTCTTTTCTCTTTGCTTTCTTTTCATTAGTTTCTAATTAGGGATAAACAATGCGCTGGTGATAGCAGTGGATGCTCGCTTCTGGCCCTGGTGCTGCGTGCTGCATAATGATCCCTTAGTTAGCATGAGAAAAGAATGGGTGAATGGGTGTGAATCATTAGGCTGATATTACTGAGGATTTAGCCATTTGTGGCAGGACATTTGGTGTCGCATTATAAACATGCATATCAATAGGAATATGCTGAACCGGCAGAACAAAGGTCTGTTAGTTACACCTGATGCACTTGATTTTGTTGATTTGTGCGTTTATCTGGAAAGGAAATACACAGAACGAGTTGTTGGAATCAAATATCTATAAAAATCAAAATCAGCATCTGCTCCGTGACCTTTTATAATTCCTTGACTCTCGCTGCAGCTTTGATCCAGTTTTTTATCCCCCATTCATGCCCAATCTATTAGGATTCCAGTCAAGGCTATTAGGCTGATTTCTTAATTCATTTTAAGTGTTACTGCAGCATGTTGCCTTTCATCCCTGCACTGACATTTTCACAACCTCCTTCACTATTTCCTTGGAGACTCTGTTGTATTTTAAGAAGGCAAATAAGCAAAAAACTACAATCGTTTTGTAATTGCATGTATTTGGAGTTATTCGGGTGCGTCTGCTCTCCTCTGGGCCCCCGCGCGCCTCCATGGAGGCACAGGGGTGATTTGTAATCATTTTAAGAATGTACTCGAGGTGATTTCCACAGAGGCTGTTGATGCCGTCTGAGCCTCCGAGTGCTCTTTCATAAAAGAGGCGAATATTGGAAATTGAATGTTGAGGGCCCTTCTCCTTTAGAGTGGCGGGGCTGAATGCTCTGGGAGTGAAAAGCTAAAATTCTGCATGTGTGTGTGTGTGTGTGAGTGTGTGTGTGTGAGTGACTGGTCAGAAAGGGCTAATCTCTTTTTAATGAACATGTTGTTCAGAGCTGCAGCAGGTAAACTCATACGTTCCCATGCTTTTAAAGACTTGTTACAGTAGATTAAACATGTTTTTAATTCGTCTTCTGAGGGCAGTGATGCATTTAATTGCAACTGAAATGGAGTTGAAGCTACTGTGTTTGAATTTTCAATTTTAATCCTCGTAGGGACCTTAACGACCCCTTTAAATTGTTTAAAATTCAGGCAGTTTGCTGTTCTTTATAGCAGTCACTTGATCTGCTGCTGAACTGCATAATCTTTCAACTACTTTAGTTCAAATGCAGACAATGCTTGTGTCACCTACTTGCTCCCTTGTAACACTTCTTTTCTAACATCACTGCTCATTTGTCCTTTTCCTCGTGTGTTTGCAGCAAAGCCCATCAGCCTGGTCGAGCGGTGTTGGTGTCGTTCAACCCTCAACACGGTTCCTCAGCGCTCCATCAAAGAGCTCAAGTTCCTCCACACGCCCAACTGCCCCTTCCAAGTCATGTAAGTCAATAAGTATGAAATTGCTGCAGTGATTATGATCGTTTCAATTATTCTGTCACTCATGTGGCTTGTTTGAGTTCATTCTTCTACATGTCGGTGCATTTAGGTGGATTTTAATGACTGTGCTGATCAAAGACAAGTCAAGCTTCTGGTGTCCTGCAGTCTTTGGACATATTACAGAACATGGCCCCCCTCATCTTTAGGGACTTGAAAGTCTGTGTTTTTACTAGACGCTCATGTAGCCGGCTGGTCAGGGACAGGACAATTTGGGGCTGATCCTTGTTGGGTCCATGCACAGTCCTCGTAGGGGACATGATGCATGAATGAGTTGCTGTGTACTGTCCATCCATCAGGAGCAGCACTGAAGTAAAGATTGCAATGTGACACGAATCATTTTTATTTATTGCAACAGTGCAGGTGGAATCTAGCTGATCAGATCTGGTCATATTTGATATATTTGAATGCGATCTCCAAATGTCTTTATAGTGACATGCAGAGAAAAATTTAGCAACATTTCAGTTCAATGTTTAATCTTGATATAATATCAATAAGAATATCAATAATCTTTAGGATTATAATAAGTGGCAAAGTACTAAGAGATGAAAATAAAAAGGAACTTAAAGGAAATCAATTTATTTATAGGATTACTTAATAATGTTTGCTTCAGAAATCCTGCAACCATAGAAGTATTATAAAATCTTAATTTTAAATGAAAATTACATTTTTTCTATGCATATGAAAATAACATCCACCTTGTTGTCCAACATTGTACAATAAAAGCTACTGAGAGTGCTCACTGTCAGTGACAGTCATTTTATTCCATTTTGCTTGTGCCTCACAATAAGAACATGTTTGAATCATTGACTGATTACCTCGTCTTTAAGCTGATGGTGCTTTATTTACAGCCTCCGCCGCTCCCATTTCAGCACCCTTGATTCCTATTAAGCCATTGTACAGTTTGCACAGTTACCTAACACCTAATCATTCTGACCATATGTTATAGGCCTAGTGTTTCATTGACCTTATGTATTTATTCTTTCGGTCTTTCTTAACATTTAATCTCATTAATTTCACTCACTTTGTTATTTGATGAATTACATATCATAAAAGCTAATAAAACATTTGTTATTTGAATACGGTGTAGATTAGGGATGGATGTGTGAAGTATAATGTTAATATCCTTCCATAATTTCCTGAACGAGAGGCCTGACTTTAAAACAACATGATCCACTCAGAAGGAGGAAAGCAGTGACGGCCAGAACTCAAGGGGGCTGTTTCTGTTTTGCAAAGGAAGCAATAATTAAAGGTCAAAGTGATTACCTTTGTATTTCTGCTGACCCCCTGTGTCCCTCATTCACTTTTTTTTTTTTTTTTTTTTTCATTTCCCAACTCAAACTGCCCGGCAACATTGAGTATAATGTCAGTGGTCTGGAACACATTAACTAAACAGCTCCATTCATTTGTTTCGCTATAGAAAATGGGATGGCAGAAGCCTCACAGCCAAAAAGGTTAAAGTCCGTGGGGCTTCTGCCAAAAAAAAGGATGGAGGGGTTGACTGTTAGAAGGGGTGACTGAGTGGTAAAAGGTCAGAGAGGACACGAAGTGCCCCGGCCGGGCCGCAAAACTTCCCTCCAGAAAACAGGGTGAGGAGTCAAGAAGTCACTGAGACGAGGCGCCCGCAGAGCGCCGCTCCTGTATCTCTATTGAGACAGATGAAAGAAAGCCAGTAACACTATAGTCCCCCCCCCCCCCCCCACACCCCTTTGCCTCCCCCCACACTCCCTGTGTCCCACCGTGCGCCCCTCATCCTACCCCCCACCCACCCAACCTATCCCAGCATGCTGTTGGTATTAACTTGCTGTGAAGTAATTACTACCTGCTGCTTGTGGAACTCCAGCCCTCAAATTCCAGCCAAGTCAATTAGGGTTTAGGTTCTCAGTTGGTCATCCAGACAAGCAGACAGATAAACAGGATGAAGGGAGACACATCAAAACAGCAGAGGGCTCCCGAGCGGATGAGCTGGCCGTCCCTAATAAAATAAAAGAGGAGGGGAAGAAGGGGACATCCCCGGAGGAAAAGCAAACGCAGATCCAGTTACTGAGCTGTTTGGCCTCCTGACTCACATGTTAGTTTGAGGGCTTTGGGGCTGATACTTGGATTGATGCTCCTGAACCGCTCTTTTAAGTTTCAGGGCCATTTGCTCATTTGCTCGTGTGTGTCCATCTAAATGGGGTGAGAAAACGGGGAGGTGGCACATTAAAGGGGTAGCAGGGGTGGAGGAGAAGGTGGGGGTACAAATTGAATCAGACAGCAGTTCGAGGCGGAGAGGAATGTGTTTAATTTGCAGAGTCGTGTGATGGAGAGATGGAAGGAGGAGAAAGAGGAGCAGTGAGGCGCTACACCTCGGAGTTGTTAACTCTCATACACGACCTTTTGCCACCGAGGTGTGAGACCCACATGTTTGGAAGGGGTGAGACCCCACTGCTTGTCCCCCGCCCACCCAACCAACCACCCACCCCCCCCCTGTTCAGCCCAGCGCAGCAGTGTCTGATAACAGAACAAATCCTCTCCTAAATATTTGGCTCGGCTCTCCATCAACAAGCCAGACTTCACTCACAAGAACACACACTCTCTGTGACCACAGAGCTGTAAATCATGAAGTGGGATCAAACTGACGTCCCTGCATGAAAAAAGAAAAAACAACATTTTTATTTTTTATGTACTGTTTTAGCCCAAAGAGAATCAGATAGGTAACACAGCATTACACAGAGATGCAAAGATAACGCACAACTTTAATACCACCTTAAATGGATAGGAACAGGGACTGAGACCTTGAAGACGCCTTTTAAATGTTTTATTATAATCAGATGTATTGTCTTCCACACTCATAAAATGCTTCTCTTACATTTGCCTGAACATTTGATAACTAGAGCTTTAGCTGTCTTACAGTGTCCAAAAATAACATTGGCAGGAACAGAGAGGGCTGTGAAAATGACTGAAAATGCACCTTTTGATGCGTGATGTGAGATGTATTCCTTCATTAAGACCAACATCACTGTTTAATTGGGCCTTTCGGGACTTTTTTAAACCAAACCAGCCCGACCAAAATCTTTTGCCAGATAAAAAGTCTGCATCAAACTACATGTTAAGATTCTCTGAGCGCCGCACAGAGACAGTTTAACAAGACCTACAGTGCAGCGTGATCTGCGATGTGAGCCTCCCTCCCAGCTGTCCCTGAGTGGAAACAGAGAGCTGTGATTTTTCACCGCCGACCGCAGGGTGACAGCCTGTTACGTGCAGTTAAGCCTCTGCTTTTTCAGCTTGGATGTGTTGTAGGATGTGCTGAGGTTTTTAGAGCTTAGCCGAGGTGTTTCTGAGCTCAGCCTTCATAAACCACATCAGATATTATCCTGACATATTGTGCTCATTTCAACACCAAGGTCCTTTGATTTGTTCAACAGGGGTCGATTTGTTAAATAGGTCGAGTAATTTTTATCTCATCTTATCATATGCACTAACAAAGGGATCTGTGTTGCTTTTTAGAATAATGCAGGTTTGCTGATGTTAAATGAAACAGCACCGAGGTGATTTTTTACTCCTGACATTAAGGTGAGCTTGTCAGATGTAGTAATCCTCGGGCTTTAACCGGGATGTGTCGTGCGATGTTTTGGGAGATTAGAGATTAAGTTGAGCTTTTGTTGAAGTGGGCCATCACAAAAAATAAATAAATAGATGACATTATTGTGATTTATTAGCCACAGATCAAGTTAAAGACATACAGGTACACTGTGCTTAACCTACAGCATCCTTAGAGCATTATCTCTTCAACTTCCCCTTTATTACCCACCCAAACGTATATTATGCTCTTTATTGTGCTTTGGGGAATTATAAATGTTGCCTGGCGCCTTTAAGTTGAAAAGACCATACCAGTGGTTTTGCATGTTTTGGTTTAATAAGTGCAAATTGCTTTTATTGTACATTTCTCACTACCATTAACTAAATCAACAATGAGTTTTTTTGTTAATTTTCCCACGTTGCAAGAAGCCGTTCTTTTCCATAGACTTCACCACTTCATGCATAAGAGAGCTGAAACTTGCCTGAGCAAAGGCCGTCCATCACAGCGAGGAATTTGTCACCTTTATTTTAAATCATAGTTGGTGTTTATTGCTTGCAGGTTGTGAGCAGGGACGGTTCTGAAAATCATATTGGTGCATTGAAGCTCGCTCCAATGTCTGATACTGCTGATCAGCAACAATTTAAATGCGGAAAACACGGTTCACAATGTGCGTCACGCAACTGTAATGTTTGTTTTGTTGTTTTCTTAGATAAATGTTACAACTTTACTGACACCAGACAGTTAAAACTGCCATTAAAAATGTTCCCAAATGACCAAACGTGATAGATTTCTGTTGTGATGGATTACCTCTATCAAGCGAATTCCAAGTTTTTGCAAGTTGATTTACTGGGTACTGACATGAATCGAAACTGCTGGCTCCCTAAAATGTGGGAAATCAACTTAGTGTGCTCAGGAAAGCAGTCTGGGGTGTGGTCCTGAGAAGGTCATTTATCTCATCAACAGTCTCACTTCCCTGTTGAATTGTCTGCAGAAACATTCAGCAAAATTCCTAAAATGAAAACCAAGTGAGGAGCTTACAGGAGCCTCTTTAAGGATCAGTGCTAATTAAAATGTCAGTCACATTTCCTTGTGGTTACCGAGAGGTCCTGTAACAGTTTGGTTAACCACACAGCTGCAATCTCAACCGAAGGTAGTCCAGCTATAAAGGAAGCCCAGAGGTGACAATATTCTCCAGTACTGGACATGTCCTTAAAGCTGATTCATTACATGTGAGTTTAGATCAGACTCAAATACTTCACTTCCTCTTTACCTCTGCCGCCTCTCCTTCATGTGAACACCCGTGGAAGTGTAGTAAATTATACAAGCAAATGTTCACTTGCATGTGAAATGGGTTGTGGAGTCTTATCCCTTTTTCTTTTTTCTTTTTTTTTCCTACAGTGCCAAGCTGAAGAGCAACCGGGAAGTTTGCATCAACCCAGAGACCAAGTGGCTGCAGCAGTACTTAAAGAACGCCATTAACAAGTAAGAGAAACCTGCTCACTCTCTCTGCTCAGACACGAGCGGCGCTGTCAGACACAGGCATGAAATACAGCCCTGTCCTGAGTCTACCATGGTTAAAAAAAAAGAGGCCATTTCTCAGTTGGCTGCTGACAATTGCTCACTGAAATCACTGACACGGTTGATGTAAGCAGCTGAGTTATTATCTGTGACATAATTAGCATCAAGTAAGAGTAGCGATAAATCTGCCACTGGCGTTTCTGGTTCCGTCTTTCTCATAAGCATGTGTCTGAGACTTTAGCAAAGACTGCAGAAGAATCAGGCGTTCATCATTTTTACCCTACGAGTTCATAAGTGTCTTAACATGACTTTTTTTTTTTTTTTTTCCTAAAAAGCATTTTCCACATAATTTTCGTCACTTACTGCACATCAGAGACAGAGTTGTCCTGGATGGGGAGCAGCACTGTGGTCACAGACTGTTGATGGTAAAAACTGCAGCAGCTCATTCAGTTTTTAATGAGCTCAGTAGTTAAAACGTGTGCAGTTCCTCATAAAAAAATGTTCCCAACATGTCTGGTGGTGATTATCGCCAGGCTGCGTCTTAAAAACGCCATAAACACTTAAAGTGCACAATGTGAAAACAAACAATAAAGTGATTTCTGAGGAGTTACGACTTATTGTTTATTGTGTTAGTAAAAGACCTGCGTGGATATGGAATATTTTAAAAACATGTAGCCTTGTCATGGGAGTCGTCATAGTTCACTGAAGCTGGCATGTGGCACAGCAGCAAACAGTCTGTCAGACCAACACTAGAAATGATGTTTATATACAACTAAACAGCAACAGCTCGTACGTTTTGTAGGAGATGACTGGTTTGATTATATTCAGAGGCATGAATGAATAAATGAATGAATGACCCTACATTTATTAACAGCAGCGGAGTCGCCAGGAGGTGGTTGTGTTGGATGGTGGCAAAATGGGCCCTAACAAAAGTTCTTTGGTTAAGCTTCAGGAAAGATCATGGTTTTGGTGCACTGTAAATAAACACAAGTCTCTGTGAACTTTTTCTGTATTAAACCAAACCAAACCAATCTTTCCCTAAACTTAACAAAGTGCTGTGAGAGTGTAAACATAACCATTAAAAGGTTTAACGAGGCTGTGGTCACTTCAAGTGGATATTTTACTTGAAGGTCAGATATTTTGGTGGAAAACAAACACGTCGTCTGTGAACATTTCACTGGTAGTTTCAGTAGCAGTGTATTTGCAACCTGTCAAAGATGTAAATCAACAACATTTCCTCATTACGTTTATAGAAAGTGTAATCTGGTCACAGTTACTTTACCTCCAAAACATATTTGCTGTTGCAGTTCAGTTGTATATGAAGCTAATTTCTCAGAGACAGGGTTGGTCAGACACAAAACACTTTCGTGTGCAGACTACTGTATGTATGTATCACTGTATGAAGAAAATGGGGCTTTTATTCCACATCGTTACTGTCAAGAGAAAAATTTGTATGTAAATCACAACCGACCTTATTTTTTATTTTCACCCATAATGTTTGAAAGGATTGTTTGGGAGCCTTGCTGCTCTTTGTCAGCGTCACCCTTTTTCATGTTCACTTACAGTTACACATGAATTACATTTACATGCTGTGGGGTTCACCTATCAAAACTGTTTGCCAACACCTGAGGCCCCTAACATGCTAACGTGTCCATTACTGCTCTGCTGAGCACAACTTACATTGTTACATTTTTTTTCCAATTACTTTATGAAAGAAATCATCATTGCTGCTGGACTACGTTCCCCAGCAGCGTTTTTTTCTAGTGTAAGCAGCGCTACATTTATGTACTGCACGTAAGTCAAAGGTTCAGATCCTTTACTGATGTAAAAACACCAATAAAACACTGTAAAAAACACTCCATTACAAGTAAAAGTCCTCCATTCAAGAAAAGCAATGAAAGCATTATCAGCAAAATGTACTCAGAATATCAAAAGTAGAAGTATTCATCATGCAGAGACACAACCCTTGTGACTCATATAGTTTCACAGATGACATTACAAGGTTGTTAATCCAGTAAATCCATTTTATTGTTCTAGCTGGTTGGGGTGGAGCTAGTGTACTTTACACAGTACAGTTAGGTGTAGTCTTGGCCCCTCCAACAGGTCATCAGATAAATCTGGACTTTGAATTGAATCGTTTCTCTTTTTATATAAAATATTGTATAATTTGACATTATTGGCCCGAAAATTATTTAAGTGTACCATCTGAGAAGTTAGAGGGGGAATTTGTCTTGCTGAACAGCTAAAAATCTGATAAGAGGCCTCAAGTTGACACAGCTTTTGCTCTGGGGATCTTTAACCATTTATCACAAGTTATAAACACGCTCTTCAAACTGCAGGTCATCCATTTATCATTGGACTGGGTTTTATTTTATAGCAGCATATTCAGAGAATATATGACAGAAATGTTGCTGTTTTCAGTCTCATGAATACGTATCCTCCTGAATCTCTCTCCAGGGTGAAGAAATCCAGAAGACGCAGTAACAAGAAAAACTAAACATAAGGAAAGGCATGTATGCCGTCAGGCCTGTGTCGAACCTGCATACCTCCCAGTCACTGCTATGGATGCATGTAAACACGCTGTATGTACCTGTCCAGCTCTCTGGACCGCTCGCAGAACCAGCACTTCACCGCCAAAACCGTGCCGTCCCCAGCACCACCACCGGTCCCTCTGGATGCCCCACGCAGTCACACCCCCCAACCCTCTATGTTAGCACCAAAATGCAGTTACACCTTGGAATGATGGGATGCATGTTGATGATGTGTGTGTGTGTGTGTTTGTGTTTGAATGTGCGTCACATGAACTAACTCTGACTATGTGTCTGTATATAGGATTTTTTTTACTTCACACAGCTATAAATGAAACAGACCTTTCTGTCTCACACACAAGGTTTTGTGGGTAATGCTGCCTTCATGCTCCTGTCTAAATAGCCCAAATTGTGAGAAAGTTTATCAGGAATTCACCTGAGTGAAAATAATCAGTTGTATTTGCAGCAATACGATTACCTCAACTTTAAAGTTTTATGAAAAGAGTGAATCCTACTTACTTTATATTGTTGATCTTATATTCTTTAAAATGAATAGAAGATCAAGGTGAACGTGGCATTACTCCAAGACTGAGGGGTCATGGGACAGACATGGAGGCTGGCCAGTGGGGTCAACCCTCCACAGGGGGGGACCAATCAGGGCAGGCCATGCTACCACAGGTCTTGCATTGTCTTTGAGCTTGCTGCAGGAACAAAACAGAGAAACTGTTTAAGAAACAAGCACTGATCTTATGGTGCTATATATTCATTATAAGGGGTCAGAGCCTTTGACATATTTGTATTTCATTGTTTATTTTATGCAAGATTTAAGATGGGACGCTGTGACTTCTATGTCTTATATGAAACTCAATTATGTTTTTACCACAAAATACTTAAAGCGCTGTTGTTGGAGCCTGAAGTGAAAAGTGAGAAGTGAAAGATGATGCTACGCGAAGGCCATACTGTACTGATACAGACGATAAAGAAGTGGAATAAAACACTTATCCATGCAGCTTTTTCATTGATTGAACATATCAACAAACAAAGACCAAATATTTATTCAGTAAAACATGTAACATGAAGAAACCTGTGAAACTCAAAAAGCGTGACTTTCTAGTTCATTTATTTTTAGCAAAAAGCAAAAGAGCATTATAATTCTGGACAGTTTCTTTACACCTCATCAAAGGGACCGGGTAACTGTATGTCATCGTGACAACAGAGCAATTTAATGGCAGTATTTTCATACCAACACCTGTCCTTGGTAGGAACGAAAAGCTAGTAATTTGTCACATAAAACATGAAGCTGAATGATAAATGTCACAAAGGGAATGTTCACGGTGGCAAAAAGAAAGTTTTTGATCTTCCTTTTTTATATATATTTGAGCCACTTTATTATCAGATGTGTCTTCTATAAGTAATGGTTTTATTTTTATATTGTGTGTATAATTTTACTAAATGTTTTTTAATGCAATGTACAGTAGGCAGTAGCTACTAAATGAAGGCTATTCCATAAAATGCAAAAAAAACAGTATTAAATTTCATTTCTACGGTTTCATGCAATATTTCACACGTGTAATGGTTTGTTTTCAATTATTATGCACAGTATGCAACAGATTCCTTCTCCAAAGGATTAAAACACTATCTTTTAACATGTTGTTTTACAAAATGGATACAAAAATCAACCAAACAAGATCAACTTTTTCCTTATGCTTCGTCGTTCTCTCAGAGTTAAAATGGGTGAACTTGATAATATCTGTTGAGTCCAACACACAGTGATTGAAAAACAAAGACCACTGTCATTGTGTTACATGAGTCAGAAACTTATTCAGCTTGGCCCACCAGTTGTCCCCGTCGGCCACTTGACGTATTGACGTATGATGTGTCAATAGAGCCACCGAGCCAAAACAGAACAAAACCTTTGAGTTGAGAGCCAAGCGACCAACATGTGCTTTCAATCTGGGCACTCCCAGCGTCCCTCAGGCTTTCATTCAATTTCATTCAACTGCTGCCACGCTGCAAAATTAGAGCCTGTTTTTCTTCCCCTAAAATTGTAATGGAAGACGTGGTGGTCGTAGTAATTGTTACGGTCTTTGTTTTGTTTTGGTTTATTGTGCCTGATCTTTTTGCTGACCAACTGGTTACAGGTGATAATTTTATCAATTTGCAGTTAATAGTGCAATAATCCTGTAAGTGTAATTTATTTCCCATTAATGTAATAGAGGTTAATGGACATTCATTTTATATTATTACACTAACTTGTTTAGAAAGAAGATTGTGAAGTTACCTGTGTAAAGTTCAACCTTTATGATATATATAATGTGATAATAATCTCAATAACAGCAAAAAGTTACGACATTAAAAAGTGGTAAACTCTATTAAATTAATGGGAAATGTGTTTACCACACTATTAGCAGCATTTGTTTCATTAATGATTTATGTGAATGAGACACATTTGTAACAAGTAATTAGCTGTACTAGACAGACTTAAAGTGAATTTCTGTAGTACTGTGGTCCCATTAATCCCTTGCAGTGTTAGTGCCATTCATCAAACAATCACTGTAGACAACATTTAGTATGATTCAACTGTATAAGCTGAATATACACGCAATGTTATTATCACACCTATACTTGCCACCAGAGCTTTTACAGTAAATGTGTGTAACAGTGTGTATTTCAGACCAAATGTGCACAACAGTTTTACATGTCAAAACACATTCAGGTTCACATTTACTTGACACTTGTTGCATTACTGTCAAGTAAAATGTATCAAAGTGGGTGCATGTGTTCGGCTTTGGACCCCAAGACAATGTGAAATAACTTTATTTCTTTTGAGGCAGCTTCTGACACATATTCTTCATATACGTGAAATGTATTAGAGTATTACCCTGTGTATTTTCACTGTTTGTAAACCAAGAGGCAGTATTTTAGCTATGATACTCAAGCCCTTTTTCAATAAAGTCATATGAAATAAAAATCTATGTCTTTATTTCTGATGAAGAGATCTTTTTTTTATATACTGTATCTAAAATGTATTTATTTAAAGCTGGAGTAAGTGATTTTTGATTAGTAGCCTAGAATGTAGAGAAGCAAAACAAATGTACAGAAACACAGCCTGGATAGACCCATGACATATCTCAGTGTTAAAGCTAACGCTAACTACTTACCAGCAGGCCATGGAGCAATATCAGCATCCCATTTGAACTGAGTTTCGTCCTGTAAAAAAATGTACAGCAGCTCATCACGACTCATGGTTGTGTTTTACTGTTAGGTGACCTCTAGTGGCTGTAGTCATTGTAAAGATCGATGGAAGGTTCTTTCCTGAGTGAAACCAACATTGTTTCTTTCAACCATGTGTTTATTTTTGTAACCATGACAACAAAAGTCCTCTCACCTTAACACAAGTACTTTGTATTATAACCCAAACCATGATCTTTTCCTAAACATAGCCATGTTGTTCCATAAGCTTATCGTAACCATGACGACGAAGGTCGAGTACACCTGCTGCTGGTATGCTCCGATGGGCTGTATTATTGTTACTATCTATGGATATGGATATTTGGATATTTGCTACCATCACTTTACAAGCTTAACATTGAGCCTAATTTGAGTTTCTATGCAGGAGCTTGAAAATCAAATAATGAACTAAAAACACGCAAAGCTGTAGAGTCGAGCAGTGCTTTCATCACCATGAGCGACACACTTCACATTACAGGGAGTCATTTGGTTTAACGGTAATATCTTACATAGCACTTGAAGCAGTGTTGGAGTGGGATAAAGTGGAATGAAAATACTAAGCAGAAGTGTTTGGGCAGGTTGAGAAACTTCTCTCTTTCAAGAACTGTCACAAGGAGTTACTTGCTCACTTTGATGGTAATAAAAAGCGGCAGTACCACACCTCAGACAGGTGGAATGAGCTATACTATAGACCATACAACCTCTAGTTCCACAGAGAGAAAGAAAACACTGGAGACTTTCTGCTGCAGGTTCACCAGACTAAACCAGTTCAAACAGAAAAGCATGGCCGAGCCAAAACCTCACGGAAACAAGTCTGGCATTGCGTATGAACGGTGACTTTGAGGCTCAATGAATAATTCAATGGGACTATCATTTGACATTTTCCACCTTCAAACTGAAGCCTATTCAGCAAGTCTTTTTCCAGTAAAGGCGTAAAGAGGAAAGGCACATGTAATGCCCATTAACATCCATATCTGATACTTTAACACCTGAGATTTCAGAAGTATTCATTTGTGCTGGTTCTTTACTCAACCACAGCACCAAGGAGCCCGTGTAGCTTTGTAAAGCTGTCAGATCTAATAAAGTGGAACTATGTAGAGCGGATTAATTTCATGGTACAGCTCTCCCCTCTGACCTCTGTGGAGATACATACGAGGAACATGAGACATGGTTTGGACGTGGACCAAGCAGTTTAGAGGGTCAGAGTTGCATGTTTGGGCCTTTTGGGCACATTCAGAAATGATTATGGGATTTCTATACTGTGCTTACTCAGCTGAGACTCGGCCATGATGGAGGTGGCTGACAAATGTACAGAATGTTTATTAATATGTGTTTTTAACGGACACAATGCCCTGATCCAGCTCAGCTGAGGAGCTTCGAGATTTTTACAAGAAAAAAAAATCTAAGCCAACACAAAGAGGTGACGGGTCAGCGTGTGCAACTATTCTTATTAAAAGTAGATAAAACGTTACAAGCCACATGTGACTAATAAAATAAATCCAGGGGGGTAATTAGAGTCTGAATCAGATATGCTGTGTTCAACTGAGAACAATAAAAGCGCAGACTGATGAAGAGACACATCAACAGATGAAGCAGCAGAGTAAATGTTGACACAAATGCTGCAGGAAAACTGGACCTCACAAGGAGACAGCAAAGTATATTTGATTTTATTTGAGTGTACAACACACGACACACTTGTTGTATGACACAGTACAAAAGGTCTTTCTGTGCCTGCTTAAAGTCAGTATAAGGTCCATGTGTTGACTACATGATGCATTATTATCCCAGAGTTTCGTCAAAGTCAAACTTGTGATTTTGAAGTTATGGACTGAAAACAAAAAACTGAGATTTTTACACATACATATCAGAACACAAAGCCATGATGATGACCTTTTTTTTAAATGAAGTTAATAAACAGTAATCCAATGGCTGACGAGGTTTAGAAACACAGTTTTATAGTCTAGGAAAAAGAAGAAGCAATCTGTACATAAAGAGTATTAAGTTCTGTATTTGAGAGCTGTCTGTTTGTTGGATATTAATTCATTTGATTAAGCTGATCGTGCATCTAATTTGACAAGAGATGTGTCCAAAAATCAGACAGTGACTGCCTTTGTAAATTTTAACAGTGAAAATATATACTTCCTCCATGTTTTGTCAAAATCTGTCAAAAATACAGTAATTCAGTATTGAATAGTCACTCATGTACTGGCCCCCTTTTTTAAAAAAAATTTAGTATAATTTACTTTTATTAATATTTCAAGGGATAACATGTTTCAGGTGAACACTTATTCCAAAATGATCCTGTGAAAACTTTGCTGCTCTCCCTTCTCACTTGGCCCATTTTTCCCAACACTACCAGTGTTTTTATGTGTTAACTTATTCATTTCACTGCAGTGATTTCAGATTTCTTTGGGGGCAGGGTTCATTTTTACATCAGCACAACACATATTTGTTGACTTCCCTGTTGTTCATTAATGTTTTATCTGTTTCATTCCTATTTTGTTAATAAATAGGACCATTGTTTGCATTTACTCCTGCCCACAAACCAGCTTCTTCTACATCCCCTGTAAAGCTTCCCAGTGCCAAACAACAACACAGCAGTGCTCCAGAGCCATAGAGATTAATAGCAGACATCAAACAGTTTGATAGTTGCCATAGTATTTTATTGTTAAACCCAACCCACATCAGTGCAAACTAAACCAATAAATAAATGTCCATATCAATACACATAAATACAACCAAACAGATTAATAGCTCAAATAAAATTATACATGGCTCCATAAATACATACTCTTGAAGTCTCTGGTTTGTGTCAGCTTGATATTTAATAGAAGACTGTTCAACAGAATGAAACAAACACAGGAAAAAATCCAAGTTCTTCTCATGAAATTTTCTTTTATGGATCTACATTGAACGAGTAAATTAGTAACTGGCAGTGGTGGCCTTACACTCCACTGTTTATTTTTGATATTGCTATGTAACTTTTGCATTTGCAGTGAAGATGATGTTCAACAAAACACCTAAAAATGTAGAGAGATATTTTCTATATGTTAATCTTCTCTCATCTCGTGTCAAACAGTAACCACATGAAAACAACACCGCTTCGCTCAGCACACAGCGGCCTTCAAGTCGAATCACCTGAGACAGAGAACATGACCAGGTTGGACAACAAATTGCTCGGCTGATTTGGTCTTGGAGGTTTGTGGGTAATCCGGCGTGATTTGAGGCTCTCAATCGTACATCTTTGAACAACTTAATACCCAGCCACGCTGAATGGAAGTTAATAGGAAACATGTTGGCTGTGAGACCACATAGAGTCGTGTGTGTGTGTGTGTGTTTGTGTGTGTGTGTGTGTGTGTGTGTGTATTTGTGTGTGTGTGTGTGTGTGTGTGTGTGTGTGTGTGTGTGTGTGTGTGTGTGTGTGTGTGTGTGTGTGTGTGTGTGTGTAGTGACATTGAAGGATGTCAGTGGGACAAGTTACGAATCTGAATGTAATTCCTCTGGTTTCCTGAAGAAACTCGCTGTATGAAAAGAAAGCCGGGGGGGGAAAGGAGATACTGACATGATGTTTCCTGCTCAGGATATAAGAACATGGACCTACATACATGCACACACACGACACTAAAGAAAGGCTAAACTCTCAGAAACATACAGGAATATGTCATCAACCATCTGGTATGGATGAAGAATTTAGGATGCCACAAACACACACGTACCATTACATGCAAACACATAGATAAAGGTGTGACTATCAAAACATGAAGATACAAATTTATGCTTCATGTAAAAACTAAAAGTGCCACCTACTTGGCACAGTAAAGGTTAATACATGTGATATTAGGTAATCTATGCTACCATTGACCTTCATCAACCTTGAGTATTAAGTTTAACACAGCCTTTGAATGATGAGACATATTTTTACATCCCAATTTAAAAATGGAGAAATACAGCGGTGAGCACTGCACATGATGTCAAACTTTAATTTGGCGCTGTGTGTCGATGCAGGCTGTTGTAATCATGTCTCTTACTCTAAATGTCACACTGATTTTTTTTTTCTTGTGAATATGCACTGAAACATCCGAGGCTGCAGCCGACAGCGCAACCGGCTAACCTCACCAGCGACTCAGGTACATGGAGTGTATAGCAAAGCACTTGACATAAACGGACGACCCCCCTGAGCCACAGCTGCCCAACTTTTGACCACTCCGTGATCGCTTTACCAACAGCCCCTCATCTCTCTGACTGTGTGGTGACCCCTCCACATACATGCAAGCCCTGGTCACCCCCTACAGACCACTAATTGCAGGCCTCAACACACAGTCAACGATCAGCATCAACAAACAACGACTCAAAAAGACAGACGAGGGTTGAGCTGCCCGCAGTGCTCAGTCTTTTCTCTTTCGAAAGAGTCAGGGGCGTCGCGTAGTGCAGTGGGTTACGCAGGCGCCCCATATATAGAGGCTACAGTCCTCGCTGCAGCTGGCCCCCGGTTCGGCTCCCGGTTCGACTCCTGCTTCGGACGGCCCTTTCCTGCGTGTCATTCCCCTTCTCTCTGCCTCCCCATTTCCTGTCTCTCTACTGTCCTGTCCATTAAAGGCACAAAAAGCCCAAAAAAATAATTAAAAAAAATAAAGAGTCAAAGCAGTCCCCATTGTAGAAAAACAGAAACATCAACATCACAGAAACCACATTTCCCACAAGACACTTCTTCACTATCAAATCCATAGGAGTTAG